TTTCGGATCGTCGGATTTCACTGAAGAAATTGTTCGGGTTTCGGATCTGGCAAATATTATACACGGATTTGCGGATCTTATTAATACAGCGGATTGCGGATTTATCAAGTATTTTGGCTCGGATTGTGGATTTAGCTTGCAATTTAGTTTGGATCCTGGATTGTGACTTCATAGTAGCGCTTTTAGCGGATTCAAATTTAGACAAGACCATTGTTGGATTGCGGATTTTGCTTCAAATTTGGGCGGATCTGTATACCCCCATTCACCCCCATGAGATGCCACAAAAAATCGTGAATAAACAAGCCGGAGTTGTTATAATACCATATTTTCAAATACATACTGTAACACCACATAGAGTAGTACCACAAATATTAATCTGTAAACAATTTCATCAATTTCTAACAATCTCAAACAATTTCAAAACAGTTTCAAATAAATTTCAAGAGAGGGTTTCAACACAACATATTACCCACTCCAATAGGCCGATTTGATATATCAATATTTTTCATAAATATCGATATTTGAAAAATTTCAATATTCCATTTTTCACATATCGAAAATATTGAATGTTCTAACTAGAGAACTTAATCTCCTTCCGTAAAGTTTAGAAAATTTTATTTAGCTTTTGCCAACTAGGGCAGGGTCACCACAACAGCATATGCCAATTACTGTGGGCCCTTTTTACCTAACCCACCCTGTCAACTTTCCTTGTGGGAGGAAACCGGAGTACCCGGGGAAAGCCCACGGCTTTCGGCAGAGCGTCGACTTTTACTCTTTTCACATGGGGACTGGGTTCGAGTCGCACTGAGAAGGTACTTAGTGAGACTCGAACCTGCAGCCTCAGAGGTGAAAGGCAAGTGCGCTAACCACTTGGCCACCGAAGCCCCTTAAAATATGTAATGGCAATTGAGAATTCAAGTAATGTGTATAATTGTGGGCAATTTAAAAGTGTAACCAGAGTAAGAGTGATCACAGAAGATCACCCCCACATGAGGGGTTGGTTTTTTGAAAACAGTACTGTGCGATAACTCCTAAAGGTGGAATCAAAATATCACAGCTCCTAACTCACTGTTCTGATGAGAAAGGAAATCTAGACAATATATCTAAATCAACAAAGATGTGACTTAGGTTTACTTCAAGAACAGTGATGAAAATAATGACCCTTTGTTTCAAACAGCTTTGTTTTTTGCTGTTTGTGATGCGGTATACATGCAACCTGACTAAACACTGTCTAAACTACGTTTTATAATTTGGATAATTTGATATAGTAGGTATTATTTTTTTGATATCTGAATTTTTTTTCAATATCGCATCAGCCTAATAATACCTAAAATATTTACAATATATCTTGCCTTGCTATAGTAGGGTAGCACATTGTCTTGCATACTCATATGATCTTCAAGTTCAGTGGCAATTTCAAACTCGGCATCGCAGATACAACAGATATATAAACCAATACCAGTTGCTTCTCTTGCTTCTAATTCCTTACAGACATCACATTGGTAGGACGTACCATGGTCTTTGGCCTTGTGCTGATATAAACTCTCAATATCAGGGAACTGACCCGAACTGTTTGTTGCATTTGTCACAGACAAAATGACCATCACTCAGTATCTCACTAGCATGTCCTTGGGATTGAATAATTTCTTTGCCACAGGTGTGGCACAATAATAAGCCATCTCTCAAGTGTGATCTCCAGTGACGTTTGAGACTTTGTTGTTTTGTGAATGTCTTCTTGCAAACATCACATTCAATCATTCATAAGGTTAGTCTCCGGTATGTGTTCTCTTATGGACCGCTAAGTGGCCTGAATGCAAAAATCGTTTGTTGCAAACATCACAGTCATAAGGTTTCTCTCCAGTATGTGTTCTCTTATGGGCAGCTAAGATTCTCGATTGCAAAAATCGTTGGTTGCAAACATCACATCCATAAGGTGGCATGTACTAAAAGGCGAAACGTCGAAACGAAACGACCGAAACGAAACGGCCGAAACCACCGAAACGAAACAACCGAAACGAAACGACCGAAACGAAACGACCGAAACGAAACGGCAGAAAATATAAATTAGGGACCGGTCATTTATTAGAGGGGGGTGGGCTGGTGCACATGAAATGCACATGAAAAGGCAGTGGAGTGCACATGAAATGGCATGGCCCACCCTCAGTTACAATATTTATAATTTTTTTTTCGGAACAATAAATTTTGGTCAGTGTACCATTTTAGGGGTCCAAAAATTTTTCGGACACACCTAAACATCAAATAAATTTTCCCAAACATTGCAAAATTTACATTATTCCCGCAAAATTCGCAGAATTTATCCCATTTATTTTTATAATAACCCAATATTGCACGACTGTGAAGAGAATATATATTGCTCAACTAGCTTGGTTTGCCCGACTTTTGCCCCACTTTTGTTGAACATTTGCCCGACTTTTCGACTTTGTAATCTTTTGGAGTAGGGGCAGCTGCCCCCCCTGCCCCCCGTCCCGTACGCCTATGCTTGTAGTTGTCACTACATAATTTTGTTTTTTATATAAATATTAAAAATTTGACTGTGGTTGATCCCTTCAGTGCTGTTTTCTTTTGTAGAATATATAGGAAAGTGGAATGCACAAAAATGTATGACCCCCCAAAAATGGTTGCAGAATTTTATGCAACCCCCCATTTTCAAGTGCACAAAAAGGTATGACCCCCTCCCCATTTGAAAAATGCGGATACGGACGGACGGGGGAAGAGGCGGATGGATGGGGGAGGGGGGGGACAGGCTGATGGACGGGGGGACAGGCTTATGGACGGGAGGACGGCTTCATTTGGTACGAAACTCAAATTTAAAATCAAATCCGCGTTTTGTTGAAAGGGATATATTAGGATATATTATAAAAGACTATTATTAATCGTAATAAATTGTCCGCAAAAAGTTGATAAAATACATGTGGAAATGCGGGGTTTTTCAAACCTTCGTAACGCTTGATATAAGGATAAAACGCGGATATGCTGCAACTTTCATGCTTAATTTTCCCAGTCATCTGGGTATGTAATAATCTAATTTTATGCAATGTAATGTGCTATTTTTTCAAGCGCTTTTCAATGCAGTTATCGGTTTAAATATAACTCAAATTCCCGCTAAGATATGACAATTGCCGTACGGACTACTTTTACGCAAACGCAAATTACAACTGCAAATTTCATCAGCACAATACATTGGCATAAAATTACATTACTACATGCCCGGATAACAGAGAAAATTAAGCATGAAAGTGGCAATTGTAGCTAATTTTCGTTTGCGTAAAAGTAGGCCGTACGGCAATTGTCATATCTCTTAACGGGAATTTTAGGTATATTTAAACCGATAACTGCATTGAAAAGCGCTTGAAAAAATAGCACATTACATTGCATAAAATTAGATTACTACATGCCCAGATGACTGAGAATATTAAGCATGAAAGTTGCAGCATATCCGCGTTTTATCCTTATATCAAGCGTTACGAAGGTTCGAAAAACCCCGCATTTCCACATGTATTTTATCAACTTTTCGCGGACAATTTATTACGATTAATAATAGTCTATTATAATATATCCTAATATATCCCTTTCAACAAAACGCGGATTTGATTTTAAAATTGAGTTTCGTGTCAAATGAAGCCGTCC